GCTTTTTAGAAAGTATCCCAGCTAAGGCCTTGAGAATTTTCCAAACTCCAGTGTTCTGTCAATTAGTCTAATCACCCTCATGGTGCAAGAGAATAGTTAGCTGGGATACACAGCTGGCCAAGACTTAGCACATTCATACAGGTCCCCAGATCACCTTGAAGAACTTGAAGCCAATTTGAGAATTCCTGGTCAGCTTGTTGAATGAGACCTTTGAAGATATCTCCAATGCCTTCAGATGAGATCTGAAGCCATCATCAACTTCAGCATGGTTAGACTGGTCTTCTCTGGTTTGATTGGCCGGATTGGTGGTGATTGATCTGAAAGTGATTGAATTGAGGAGGCTATGTAGCAAAAGAAAACACTTGTGAGCTGAGACTTAATGATTGTATATTTGAAATGTTAAGCACTGATATCATTTGGTGCAAAGTAACACAGTCAGATATCAAGGTCAATGGCATTCTTGAGTGCATGTTTCAATGCCGTAAGAGCTAATTCTGAGTGGTCAGGGCTGTTGAAAAATTTATGGGCCAAGTAATGTATGTAGCCCCACAATCCGTGAAATATTGTGCTTGCATGTCCAATTGATTGCTGAAAGTCTAGGTTATTGATGCAAATCAAAGGGAGTAGTTCTTTGAGTGGTAATGTGAGAGTAGATTCTTGTTTTTTTTTTTCACTTCTTTGTTATCCAAGGGAGGCCAGTCCACAATGAGCATTTTTTCAAGAGTAAGACAGTCCAATACAGTTGATAAAGTATTTGGTGCCTCAGTGACCCCACATGGCCTTGATTTTGTCTAAAAGCAACCATTGAGCATACCGTCCTAGCAATGTCTTCTTTGTCTTGTCTTTATTGGTGGATTGCAGGATTCCTGCTTAATCATAAGATATTGAAATCAACTTGAATTGCTTCATCTTCATTTGAGAAAACAGGAATCCTTGATGATATTTGTTTTAGTAGGGGGTATCAAATTAACCAAATCCACCATTAATTAATTGACTGGTTTGAAAAAATCCACCCTTTTTTAAACATGTTGGTTGTCCATTTAACCCCTTTTGGGGCCCATTTATGCAATTTTTTTTTTGGAAAAGTGAGTTGTTTCTGATGGTGGATTTCCTATATTTGATATCCCCTCATATAAAATTCTACAAAATGCAGAAATAACAAAATAGAAAAATGACAAAATAATATAAAAGTCAATACATAATCAAAATGTAAAACCAAAAAATAAAAAAAATAAAAAAATGACCAAATATGTAAAAAAAAAACATCAAATAAAAATTGGGAAAGGCTGGTGCAAGCATATTTCACAAGCAAAGAGTATCCGATGAACAAAAATTTGAATAAAATGAATTAAGAAGTTGGGAAAGGCTGAATCCTTGGGGCCTTCACATCTACACCCCTTTCAATATCTCATCAACAAGTATCATATCATCATACACCTCTCCCCACTCAATTTTAACTCTTCATGTAAAATTAATATGATTTTATTAATCTCTAACAACATGATAAAATTAGGAAGGATTAGTACCAAATTAATCCAGAAGACAATGGATCAAATTCTGCAAATATGAGATATTTATAGTAATTGATTACTTGCATATATTTTGGGGTAAAAGCTATCAAGTCCACGATTTATGATTTTATAATGCATGATCTACACTACGGAAGTAAACCATATTCAGATGATATCATAAATTTCACATAGCACATGTTAGATCGAGATTCAAGTATATGAATCTCCATTCAAATACTTGATGGACACAGGTTATAATTATAATTATGTCATCATCAACTAAAACAATACTAAGGTCATGATGTAGGTATTGCTGTGAATCATATTATCAATAATTATAAACTGTGATACACAGAGGTTATTATGAGCTATATTATCATCAATTACAACAATACTAAGGAAAATGATGTAGGTATTGCTACGGATCATGTTACCATTAATTATAACTGAGCACACGCATAATGTATCCTTGGAGTTCTAAGACTGAACACAGATTATACTAAGATGATGGTGGATAATTGAAGTTAAGCAATCACAATCTTTATTACAATTTTCAAATTGTTCCTGCATTATCATATAATATATTTATATGTTATCCTGAGTTAATTTCCCAATTTCTCTTCATATTCTATCCAAATAACTTGGCACACTTGTCCTGGACTCTTGAAGTTCTGAACATAGATCATTCATGCTAGGACTATTGTGGATCTATGAAGCAATGGCAATCTTTATTACAATCCGGAAATTGTTCCTACATACTCATTCATATATTCCCCCTACTTGTTAATACTTTAGAAGTGATCACCAAAGTAATGAAGAGGGTCTTTATAATAATGAAATTTGGCCTTCTTTTTAACAGCATTAACAATAGAAGTAGTAATCTGAAGTGATAAACCAAGACAAGTAAGCTCTGTAAAACCAGATGGGGAGAAGTAAGGAAGAGGAGAATGTCTATACTTTGTTATGAGCTGTGGAGGACTGGAACTGGGGATGCTACATATGTACATAGTCTGTTACCTACATGTCACAAACTTCAAACTAGGAGTTTGTATGAGATCCACACCTTATAATTCCCTCATCTTGCAATCTACCATCAGGAACCAGAGCCCTGAAGACCCTCACCTGCTCTCCCCAGAACACTCATAACATACCTATTGGCTTGCCAAATCATTTTAACAATACTAGTGTGCTGTTTGTCAAAACTAATACCATTATGGAAAGTAGGGAGAACAAAAGGACCACCTTTAAGATTGTAACCAGAATCAGGACCGGCTAATTTGCCAGTAGCCAAGTAGATGGGAATAAACACAACAAAAGCCCACTTGGATATATCATTATGATCTTTACGTGGAGGATTGAAAAAATTATCTGTAGTGAAAGTGAGATGAGGTGAACAGGAATTGGGACCAGGCTTTTCGCCAAAGGAAAGTGAAATAAAAGATGGTAGATTAAAATGTTCCATAAGATTATGGTTATGGTCAAATGTACAGGAAGACAAAAATCTATAATAATCACCAAGAATTTCACCCAGATGTTTTGATTTTTGGAAAAGATTATCAAACTTTTCCATCTTACTAGGAGGAAACTTTTGATATATATTCCAAATATCTGCATAAATTCCTGAGACTTTCTCCAACCAATCCCCAACAACTAACCACCCCAAGAGTGGGTCAAAGAGCCCAAAGGATTGATGAAGAAAAGCCAAAATGAAGTTGAGGTTTTCTTTGTTGGTTTCACTTAACTGATCCCAAGGGGTGAAATCCATGACAGCAATGACTGAGTCTTCATCATTAGGATCCACTATATACGCGCGGCCAAAATTCATAAGGAAGAACTTCTGATTTGCAAGCTCACATGCCTTGGAGACTTCATCAGGGGTTGGATGTTGAAGAGGTTTGTTGGTGTCTTTGTTGAAGGGGACTGTTGGATAGAGATGTGTGTTGGGGTAATAATTCAAACATTGCCAGCGGATAGATTGTAATGTAGGCATGTCAACACCAATTTTTTGTGCCTGAAATTGTGCATGGAATTCCACCCTCTTCTTCTGCTTGTTACAATTGGTTACCAGCTTACTCAATCGGCCCCAAGATCACACACATTCCAACAGTCATGAACAAATGTAACCGGGCTTGTTACAGGTCTAAGGGGTACTATGTAAAGCTGTGACAGTTGCTGAAAAAGGTGTGTGAAAGCTATGGTTTTGATTATGTAATCAAAGCTACATGTATGAATGAGGAATGAAAACAACACGTCAGGCAGGGTCTATTTATACCCTGCCAGCAAGACTAGAGATAAGGAAGAGACAGCGCTGAAAGCCCCAGGGAAGTAACCCTGAGGCGCGTGAAACTAGAGAGAAACAGCACGGAGGCCAATACAGAACAATGTGGAGGCTTGGGAGCCTTGAAACAGGGAGCGTAGAGAAAAGAACAAGAAGAAAGAAGAAAAGCCCTTGTTGTCCTGTAGGGTGTGGTTGTTAGTCATTAGAAAGTTGTGAAGGAACCCAAGCCCGTTAATTATGGCCCACTGAGGTCCTTGAAACTAGACAATTCTGACAAATATGAGACTGCTACTCCAGTTCCAAAGACTTGAAGCCCAATATTGTGCTATTTTGAAAGGTTTTTTTATTTATTCCAATTCCCCTCATTGAACTGATTGGAATGTTGCAAGAAGTTTGAATCTAATTAAGGGCCTCTACCATGGGATTTAATTTTGAAAATTGGTCATTTTTCCATCTTCTACACAAAAATTGGAAAGTGGGTGCATCTGTTGTTGCAATTCTAACTCCACCTGGGGTTTTTAGTTTTTAGTTTTTTTTTTCTGAACTCCTCAACCTGTTCTTTGACTACTCAGCAAGGTCTTCTCCTCAGGCATACTCAGCATACTCAGCCATAACTATCTTTTTCTTTCTGAATTTTTTTCCACAGCTTTTTTTAAACTAATTTTTTCAGCTCAGTAATATCTCAGATATTCAATAGGGGGGTTCACGAGTGAACTTTAAGGCCATTTTTAAGGTGTTTCTGATCATAAATTTAGAATTTTTCTGTGATGTACAGAAGGTTCAGAATCCAATAAATCGGAAAAACTCAAAAAGTTAATAAAATGTTGCTCATAAACGCCTTAATCTTACTCCTCAACTCAGCCCTTTTTTTCTATCTATTTATCTACAAATGGATCATTGGTGACATCAAGATGGTATTCCAAGCAAACAATGGTATTCCTAGCAAACTACGGTATTCCAATACATAATATGGAATAGAAGAGCAGCGGCAGGCTAAATAAAAGAACAAGATAGGATATCAGAGTGGAAGCAGGCTTAGAATAGGATATGAGAGCAGCAGCAGGCTATGATAAGGGATAAGAGAAGTATTTTTTGTGGAGGGACTAGTTACAAAGAAATAAGGATCAATAAGGTTAAGGCTGGTGGATGATGGTCCAGGTCCAACCATTAGAATTTGTCCCTTCAATGAAGCCAACTGGGGCTTGACAACATCAAAAACCAGCATCATCCTTGCCGCCATCACCTACTGTCTCCAACTCACCTCCAAAGTTACCATTGTCGTATTTGCTTTGATAGGCAATGTAATTGGGATAATAATAATTCCAAAATCCAAACTCTGCCTTGGCGCACCATTGTTTCAAAAGCATTTCAAGCTCGTAGTGGCGTGGGATCTTGCCTGTGGGTGTGTCAATGTAGTCCATGTTCAAAGGGGAGGTCAAGTCGTAGGTGAAGAGTAGCGTTTGAATCACTTGATCAAGCTTGCCGGACGTTAATGAACATCGAAAAATGTCTATCTTGCCCTTGTTGAACAACACTCTGAGGGCCTCTGCAAGCTCTCCACTCGTAAAGAGCCCATGCGACTCCGCTGCAGTTCCTTCAGATGAGGCCAGATCAGAAAGAAGTATCATAATATAGAATGTGAGAAAACCAAAAGAGGGAAAGACGTACCTTGCTCGTCGTGCTTGGGTCTGGTGGACCGTTTGTCATGTTCATTAATAAACCCATGGGCGTTGCCAGAACCATGTTCTTTGCCGGTACCTTGCTCCTTGCCAGCACAAATTTCCTCGAGATCATTAAGTTTCTCCCCAGCACTAGCTGCCCTGCCGGTAGTCCCTGTTACGGCAAGATTAGAATACAAATAAATAGGACAAACACAAGAAACAGAGAAGATAATCTTATGATGGAAAGACATACCTTGATCATTGGTGTTGTTGCCAGCGCTTGTGACAGAGGCATCTAAATAATTGGTGATGATCAAGGAATATTAGTATTGGATCCACAGCCTTGTGTACGGGTGTACAGTACACACCTTGCCTGTTTGAATTAGGGCACATGATATAATAAGGTTGGATGAAGGAGCTTGATGTATAATAAGAGATGGATGAAGGAGCTTGATGTAGAAATTGGTTGATCACCGCAGGGAAATCAAGTCAACTAGAATGTTGGGGGGGAGGGGGAAATGAGACGAGTGGTTGACAAAAAAGGCTTTATTTGAGTCTGAGGGCTGCCCACCAAGGTATCAGAGGATTGCTGACATGGATCATGGAATATTGAATATCAAAGGATGAGAGGTGGCCTAAACCTATCCATGTATCCCAAGACTTTCCTTTGTTTTGATCTGCAGATAACCACCCACCAACATATTGACAACTTTCCGGTTGGCAGGCTTGTGGTGTGCTATGGTGGTGCTACACTAGTTGATCAATGACCAACATTAAGAATTCATTTTGGTGGACCAAAAAAATTGTTTTGGTGAGCTGGGTGCAGACCAGGCCCCGGATGGTCTGCTTTATGCCAATTAAGGAGGGCCCAAAATACAATACCAAACTTCTGATAATTTGTCTCATAAGCACAGGCTAAGAGTGTGAAAATCAAAATGGTTACCACGATCATAGAATAACTCTGGAGGTTCTGCCAATTAGAAAAAAAGTCAACTTGTGGGTTTCATGCCAAAGAAATTCTACATGTTCATGTTTGAGAATCCGTACCTATTGAGCCCACAAATTTGACTTTGAACCCTTTACCTTAGCCAACTCGGATGACAGACAATTTCATCAAGCGCCGAATGATGTTAATTGAAAAAAAATTGGTCTAAACAGTCTTTTTTTGTGTTGTTTGTCCACCTACACCTTGTTATCCAATATTCAAAAAGCTGCCATGAACAAGATTTGCGCGGGGAAGATCTCAACAGATTCCAGAATCCTTAGTTGGATACCCACTTTTTACTCCTGGATTTTTTTAGGCTTCAAGTTTCAATAATTATAAAATGGGTAAACATCAAGCATACAAACACTACAAACAATACTGATTTTGCCCCAAGGAAAAATGGCAATTTGGATGGTGGAAAATAGATCAATTTTCTGACACTTTTTTTACAGGATGCCTCAGGAGTAAAAAATTAGGCTAAAATGAGCTATTTTAGCCAAAAAATAAAAATGCCTCAAATGTGCTAAAAATTCATTTTGGAATGTTTGATGAATTTCTATCTCTGGGCTAAAATAGCTCAGTTTAGCCTCATTTCTACTCCTGAGGCATTTTGGAAAAAAGTGCCAGAAAATTGATCCATTTTCCCCCACCCAAATTGCCATTTATTGTTGGGGCAAAATGGGTATTGCTTGTAGTGAAAGAAGGATGAAATTAAACAATCATCATGGTCCAGCCATCTAACATCTTCTTAAAACTGTTATGAGCTGTGGAGGACTGGAACTGGGGACATTACATATATGTAGAGAGCCTGTTACGTACATGTCACAAACTTCGAACTTGGAGTTTGTTTGAGATCCACACCTTGTACATTCCTCATCTTCCAATCTACCATCAAGAACCAGAACCCAGAAGGTCCCTCCTGCTCTCCCCAGGACACCCATAAAAAAAACACATAGGATTCAAAAAACTCTTCTCCAAACACATAAGATTCAAAAAACAACCTAGACATAAACATATTTGAAGAGCAGTCAGGCAGAACTCTTCCTTTGCTCTGAGTTGGATGATGAGTAGCAGGATGGAGCAAAAGTGAAAACATGTGAGAGTGCACATGTATTTTAATCTTGGACCGGTGTTGTCCAGTTGTAGGGAAAAGAAGATTTTTGACCAGGTGCCAACCAAGAAAACATACGCAATTACTCGGAGCATTCTCCGCATGCTGTCCAACATGTCTACATAATTTAACAACAAACAGTCAGGGTTTTGAGGTAGACTTAAGCCCTCAAATGACCATGACTTACGTGATTGTTTGACCTTGTTTGAACTCAAGATTTGGCAGCCTTCCCTGGTTTTTTCTTCTGAATTCTTGTGTGAGTTGATAACGGAATCAGTATCAATGGCTTGTGCCTCTTGCACTTGGATCAGGCGGCATGTTTGAATCGGGAGGCATGTTTGAATCAGGTGGCATGTTTGTATCGGACGGCGATATTGTGTCAAGCGGTGTGGGCGGTTGCCAAATGGTTGAAAGGGGAAGTACTCTAACAATTGGGCTGAGAAAAGCATGAAACATTAATCCAATTTGTATACATAACAGATCACAACTTCATGCTTACCATTGGCTCCATATGCCGGACAATCAGGGTTACAATTAGTGTGGATTTTGGGGTTCAAGGTATGGCTTTTCACGCTGGATTCATTCAGGCAACAGTGTTGATCACAAGGGTTCTTGCTATATTTGAGATCACTGCAAGTAGGTAAGTAAGGACAAGCATAGTGGGTTGACATCTTCCGTATAGGAGGATGTTGATACGAGGGGGAGATGAAGTACGTTGTGTGGAAAAAGATGGGATTTTCAGGATGAAGAGAGGCAAATTTGGATTGCAATGACTGGTTCCAGGTACTCCCAGGACATCTGTTAAATGAGAACCCTCCTGCCTGTGTGCAAAGTCCCCATGGGCTTAGTTGTAGGTATCAAAGAGTTGGAATTCCTAAGCAACCACTCTGATTCAACAAGGTCATTAACCACGCTGATTCAACGAGGTGGTCACACCTCCCCTTGATTTTGGCTGTACAGCAAGTCTAACTTAGCTCTAGCTGAGTCAACAAGATACCTCTTATTTATGTACAAAAAAAGTCACTCTCAGAGGTGTTGCGCGCCCAAGTAACACACGGTGTAGGACTCCTGGGACGGATAGACACGGTAAAGTATATGTATATCAAAAGATCCCTTGAGGGGGAAATAAATTGCAGATAGGTTGAAAGGCTATTACAACTTACGGGTGGTTTGAAAGACCTGCCCCATCGAAATGTACTAAACAAATAACTAAGAGTC